CGCAGCACTTCAGAAATTGAATACAGACAGTATTACCGATATTGCATTTAATAATATGCTATGTATAATTAAAATCGTAAATTCATAAAACACAAAAGATTTTTCGATATAAACTTAAACAGTTAACTTGCAGTACGTAATGCACAGTGCAGTGATTGATTACATCCATGTTAATCTGCGTATGAATAGATAACCTTGACCGCCATTTGCATTGTTAGTTTCGTAACCTATATGTTCCTTAGTATTACTTCGTAATGTAATACATGTAAGCTATTAATAGTATTCAAGTTTACAGTTTAAATAGTGATTATTTTTTTAGTGCTCTAAATAACATTTTGCTCTAAATTTCATCAAATAAAGTTTCAAAAAATTCGTCTTTTTCTTTTCTTACGGAGAAGGTTCTTCAACTATAACGCTAATGATACATCCCGTTTGACCACGTAAGCATGGCCTGGAAAATGTAAAATCGCTGTATATGCAATAAGGCATGTATATTAAATTGTTTTACAATTATACACGATAAAGAAAACACTAACATTGTTTTTCTTAATATTTATTGCGAATATGCTTGAATCTTTACCGTAAAGACTACATGTTTGGTAATACAGGATATTTTTATGCATGAAGATGCATAAGAAAAAAGGGGAAATTATTGATTCGACTTTGGAACATAACTTCGGATATCTCGAAACCCCGGATATCTCGAAGTCGTGTCCAGGCCCCCTCAACTTCGAGATACTGATATTTCACTGTATCAGACATATGAATAATAACTGTACCATTGACCTTGGGTACAAGGATATGTAGATAACGAATGGCCATCAATTGACACAAGTGAATGTTTCACATGTCTCACACCTAAAGATTTAATCAATTAGATATAAAGATTCATGTTCAGAAAATTAAAGGTACTTGGACACAGATTTGAAGTCAATATTTTCTCTATAATATTACGCTTTACATATTTTAACAGCATTTCACACAAAAATTAATTAAAAATCTTATTTCATTTAAAAGTTATTAAAACTTCAAATTTTTTGGCGGGTTTGATTGACACATCCTTGCACTTTCACAAATTTTAACCTTATTCTTAATCCTTGGGAAAAGTTTCAATCTTGTTGTGTATTAATGAGAAATATTAAAACTTTTATCCAGAAAAATAATGTTATTCAGAGTAGAAATGTTAGAAAGCAAAACTCCTTCACAAGCATCGTCATTCCGAACTAAGAGTTGCGTACAGAGTTTAGGAAATCGAGCACACTCATGTTATGTACACAGTTTTTGTAAACAGAGCACGAGTTCTGTTATTGTTGATGTTTACAATTCACCGGGTGCGTTCAATCGTCACAGTCTGCTTACCACAACTGCACGGACTGACAATATATTGTGTGTTTGTTTTGCTTTCGAACATATCTACTCTGAATTTTCTGGATTATAGTAGTCATATTTTTCATTTATACACAACGAGATTTCCACTTAATCTTTTCCTAAGGATTAAGAATAGAATTAATTTGTGAAAGATCAAGGATGTGTCAATCAAACCCGCCAAAAAATTTGAAATTTTAATATCTTTTATATGAAATAAGATTTTTAATTAATTTTTTGTGTGAAATGCTATTAAAATATATAAGTCGTAATATTATAGAGAGAATAATAACTTCAAATCTGTGTCTAAGTACCTTTAAAGATTATTTGACTATAATAACTTAAGTAAATTAACACTTCTGAATCAGTTGAAGTTTTGATCCCCACTTCAGTAAGACTTAATTTGTAATAAAGATACAAGTAGAGTTAACGTAGCTACATAATTCAGAGGGTCAGGGCGTATATAGCTCAACTGAATTAACTGAGCGTTATGCTCAGCCTGCATATAACCTATCACATTAGACATTAGTGGAAATGCTATGTAGTGTTGTGTTTTTACAGGATAGCAGCATGCAGGCCTGGCAATCAGTTTGTCAGAGGATTTTAAACAAACCATTGTCCATCTGGCATGGATTTCTACAACCACTCTTCATCAGCAGGGTCAAAGTAGGACAGAAAAATAATTCTTAAAGAGCTAGAAAAAAAAAGCATATCCAGAAATGTGAAATTTGTAAAAAATGTTACAATTTCTTAAAAAAAAGAATTCCATCCAGTAGTTGATTATTTAATTGTCAATTTTTCAGGCATTGATTAAGTTCCAGCTGGACACTAGTACTGAGCTGAGCAAGCGACAGATAACCAAGGTTGTTATGACAATTGGCTCCACGGAGGAGGGGTAAGCCTTCATTTTCTCTGTTATACAGTAAAAATGGTGATGTATTTACATGTTATAGAAGGTTATGGTTATGTGATAAGACTGTTTGGGATATTTTTACACAGCTCAAACATTATTAGTATATTTGAATCCATGTTTTCTGTTTGTGCTTTGATGTATAGTGAACCCTTAAAATACTAACTACAGTATATATATTCTATGTTGAATTGATTTATTGGACATATTTTAAAATGAAAATAAAGTAAGAGACAGATATAGCCACAAGAAAATATTAAAGACAAAAAAGAAAAGAATGAAATGGCATAATTGTTTACAAAGACTGAAAGTATCAGATTTTTGAAAACATGGGAAGATATTTTATAAGGATGGTGATTTTAAAGCACAGAATGGATGTTTGTTTTAGGTGTATAGCTGACACAGATCTGGCAGGATACATCTGGCAGGAGTCCCCGGGGGACATTCCTACTAACATGGCCTGGACCACCGCCACTTCTAGATCCACCTCCGATAATCCCGGGGGACTCATCATGAAAGCCAAGGCATTCACACCAGTCATTCAGAGGTTTCTTACTGTTTATATTTGAATTACACCAGTCATTCAGAGGTTTCTAACTGCTTCTATTTGAATTTTAAAATGAAACCATCTTTTTGACATTGGTGTGATGATGTAAAAATACTCGTCATGCATATATAAATGAAATCTTTGCTTTTTCATTTTATTTAAATTGTTGTCTAACCAGTAACATTTTTTATTCTGGCAAAATTACAAGGAACTAGTGCTAATTGTAACGGGGACCGTTACAGATGTTCCCCAAACGCTCCCCATGTCCCTTTTTGTGCCTTATTCCTGTAAGACCTCTTATAAATATGCTAGGTATCGAAGGGTTTAAGAATTAAAGAATATAAAAGTTACAATGATATCAACTATATATCGTTTAACGTTTTGCATGCACGCACACGTACCGGTACATGTACATGCATATGCAAGATGATCATGGTATGTTGGTTAAGCGATTAACGTATCTTTCTATCCAACGAATCAAAGAAAAAAAATACAGATATAAAGTCACAATTTTTCAAGTATATGTCATTTTTTAAAGTACCTATAATTCACATTTTATTCTTTACTGATTTTAACAAAGTCGGTTTTTTTCCCCAAGACAAGGCAGGGTTAAAGTCGACTAAGGGTATCACGCCGATATTTAACCAATCAAAATGAACTTATTCAATTGTAGTTCCATACATGGAAAAGGGATTTTCCTTTCTTTTCAGAATTCTTTTTTTATTTCCTCTCAGGCCATTTTGACAACTCTGGTACCTATGCCTAGTAAATTTTATATACATTGTAAACAAATATATACAGGTTTTTGACCGGAACTATTCATTTTTTCCAATACATAGGAGACTACTTTCTGGGGTTTACATGTACAAGAGATGTTTATAAAGACATTCGTCTCAGCTAATGTGACCAATATTGTTTAACACTTTCTTATTAATATTTTTTTCATGAATGCAAATACCGATTTTTTTTTACCAAAGGGCGTAAATGTCTATTAATTTTTAATATACCGAAAATCGCTATTTCTGGGGATTGCGTAATTTTAAAAAAATTCAAATAAATTTCAAAGGTAAAATAAACAAAGGGTGCTAGGTATTAAAATATTATTTCAAATCAGTAGAATTGAATGCTATTAACGACATGTGAATAAATAGGCTATAAAAAGGCTTATATACCAACTTTATTCATTTGCACTTTAATTTCAAACACGACAGGATTTGTAATTTTTTCCGTATAAATTAATAATTTCTATATACTTTGGAAACTCAAATCAAATATTTTAGTACACTTTCCTCGAGCTCTTTTCTGCAATTTTCCTGAAATTTTATGTGGGTCTGAGGTGTTATTTGATCTTTACAGCGATTCTCTACGTTGCTATTATTTTGATTTTGTGTGTGTGTAGGGGGTATTTTATTCTTAACCTATTTAGGGTTGTAATTGAATTTTGTATCTTACTCCAAGAACTTAAGATTGATTGTGACATTTGGATCAAAGATCAAGGTCATCAAAAACCACCACTTCTTTAACTTCTATCCTGCCAACCGAAATAATCTCTGAAAGGTGTTTCTAGATACATGTACTTCATTTTTATTTTTACCCTAGGGTCAAGGTCAAAGGTTAAGGTCGATTTCAAGTTTATAGATCAAGGTCATTTTGGAAAATAGCTAATATCAACATTTTATTCAGGTAAGGAATGACCTTGACCTAAGTTTCAAGGTCAAGGGTCAAACGATTTACTTCAGTATGCTACATGTCTTGACATTACTTAGAAGTTCTTAATTCTGCATGGTACATCAAAAACTCAAGTATCCTGTCTTTTAATAAACAATGTGTGCTTAAAAGATTGGTCGCATTGCGCACAAATGTGCATGCACGTCCTTGCATTTACTTTTGATAGAATATAATGTAGGCACATTTGTGCATTATATCCTTGGATATCCTGCGTCTTTTTATACCTTTTTTCTGTAAAACAAAGTTTCACCCTGTGTTTCATTAGACTTGTGTAGTAGAGGTCAACGATAAGACGTTGTGTAGGGTATCATTCGATGGTACCAAGAATTTTAGCCAATTTTCAGATTGCAATTTAATTAAATATTTTGCATAGAAACCTCCATATGTAGCCTTAACTCACTTGCGGTGCGTGCGTTCGTGATTATTCTTATATATCATGCTGTAGATCTTCATAATGTATGACTATGTTCAAAATTTCAAAGGATTTTGTCAAAAAAACAAGAAAGATATTTAGACTTTACTTTCAGCCAATCGGATCGAAGTGCACGTGCATGCGCGTGAGATCTTGCTATTTTGGCCATGCCATCATGTTTATACGTCTTAAATATCCTTATTTTATGAGTTTCAGAGCATTTCATCAAAAATTTAAAAAGTTACGGCTACATCTATTATATTGGTGATTTCACGTGTTACATGTGTGCGCACATGCACGCACGTGCGCGCGAAATGACCTTCGTTCCGCACATCTGCATAACATACCTAGTGACCCAAAAAAGGTTTGACCTAGATCAGATGAGTAGTTTACGAGAACACTTGCGGACAAAAAAGTACCGGAGAACAAAGAAGAAAATTCAGAAGAAAGTAAAAACAATATGTTCCCAAACTTCGTTTTGGGAATCATGAAATATGAAGGTGTTAATAGTCACATTTTGAATTATTATGTCAATTGTTTGCTTTCAACTTGAATATAAGCTATTATTGATTTTTTAAAAAGTTTTGGCATCAAACAATATAATTTAGATCAATTAACACATATATCTGTCAGACCATACAATTGATCTTTCATTTTGATCTACATTTTTCAGAATTACCCCGTATATACCTGGCCTTCCACATGTAATTCTATTTCAACTGTGCAAGAACAACTGCACTTCTATTGACTATACTACAAGCTTAAAAGTCTTTTGTTTGTGTAATATACCAGGGACCTATTTACCAGTATACAGTATATACATGTAGGTCCCTGAATATACATGCAAAACTAAAATAATATATATTTAAAGTTCAGGTACTAATCTTCTTTTTCCTTTTTATTAGGTCACCTGAGTAAACTCAGGTGACCTATTGCTATCTGTTTTCATCCGTCGTCGTGCGTCGTGCATTGTGCATTAACAT